TGGGACAGCCCCTATTCATTACCCAATGGATTAAGATGGCTCCAGAGTAGCAGTAGTGCTTCTATATTGTAAATTGCAGTGGTGCAAAAGCTGTTTCACATATAATTCTTCCATCGGTGCCAGAGGGCCCAAATTCTGAGACAGAGGTGTTACAGATGTCTGGGTCATCATAAGCCAAGATCCTAAAGTACTATTAAATGTATCTTTTTTTTCTTCCTTGATGCAGCAACTATGTGGCTCTGAGTTGCTTTTTATGCAAGATTTTATAGAAGCAACGCTTAAATCTGAATTCAAATCCAAGAAACAATGAGTTTAAAGACCCATCACACAGACTGTGTGATGTCATATATAGTAGTATACAAAGAGTTTTAAGCAAAATATCTCAGTGTGATGATTACAAAAATGTAGATACAATCAAAGCATTAAGAATTTCTTTACTTTCTGGCTCCTTCATTAAGTGGGATTCTGAATAAATATTTCACATATGAGAGAAAATAAGGATAATACCCTAACTTCATTACCATTTGGCATCTTTCTTCTTGAAAACATGGTCACAGGAAGGATCAGAGATCAGCAAAGAGCTAATACACAGAGCAAAGACAGATATAGTGCATATTCCCCTCCTCCTTAAACCTTCAGAAGTTCACCACTTCAGCTCCAAGGGGCTAGAGCACCTTTGACTGAGAGAGAAGCTAAGTTCTTCTCTCTAAGAAGCTGCAGCATGTACGTACTTCCCCCTCTGCAGTAGTGTAGAACAGCGCAGGCCTAGGTGGAAGTACTTTGCTGGGGAGTAGTGCAGACAGATTAGATGTCACACTTCACAATATGTGGTATCTTTGTTAGAGGTCACAGCTTTAATTCTCTCCTATTACTCTGTAAGCATGTGCATAAGAAATCACAGTCAGCCTCTACTGCAAAACAAGTATCAGGAGTGTATGCAGTGTATGAATCTGCTCTTTCTCCCGTTGTTTTTACACCCTTTCCCCAAAAGAACACAGTAAAACCTCACAACAACTGCACAGAGCAGTCCAAATAAAACTCATTTCTTGTCCAAATATAAGCACATTTTCTGCTTTCTGTAGTTACAGAAAGATAAGGAAAATACTAGTGCATATACTTTAAATGTCTCAAAATCCAAATAGCAATGCAGTAAAAGTATAGTAAAATGCACATCTACATTGATCTATAGCACAGAATAAAGCCATCCACTGCCTAACAATCTAAATCTTCCTGAATTATACCCTTTTCTTTTATAAATATGTTGAGCTTGAATTTGTAAATATATTATCTATAACTTGTATGCATGTATATATATTTATATGTCTATATATTTAAGATACGGATGAATATAAAATACATTAATATATATCCAAATTAAAATTGCAGTGGAACTGTTCATCACAAAACGAAAATGTATCTAAGCATGAGAAAGATCTGTACTGTGGTCTAACTCAAGACTGAGAAATAAGTTGCCTAGGACTTTAGAACCACTTGGAATGTCACCATATTTCCTCTGAAGCTCCAACGGGCACTTTTTCCTTGCCTTCAATAACATAAACATGTAATAGCAGTTACAGAATAAAAATATTATTTAAAATTTTAAATAATAATCTGCCTGTTGTCTTTCCTTCAGAGAGAAAAAAATGAGAAAGTAAAAACCTCATACAACTTGATGCTGCAGGAAAGTATTTATTTTATTAGTGGAGATGATAGAACAGCCTAATCACACCACTTTCTTATTGGATGTTACAGCCCTATGAAACATCTTGTTAAGTCCTGCTGTAAGCTTAACTTTTTATATTTTGTTATAACAAAACATAGAATAAGGCATAGCTTGATGAGCTGAGCAAAAACACCAGGTAGAAGGACAAAGAGACAAAACCAATATTAGTCAACCAAGACAACTAATTAAAAATAAATCTAATAACTATTTTTTCTATTCAGAATGGTTTTCTCTTAGTGTTGCACTATGTGCACTAGAAAATCCAAAATATCTCTAATCTGAAATAAAGAATATTTCTAATTTGCAAGAACCCATGTACTGTCAGTTCTCACTTGACATCCAGCAATATTTGTTTCATAATGCTCATTTTAGTGCCAGAATTCCAGATATCATTAAAGTTATAATGCAACTTACGTAAATTATTTGGAGGAGGTCTCGTCTCCATGTTTTCATAATGTTGCACGTGTACTACAATGTTTAGATCTCTTTCCATATGATCTGTTGTACAAGGACCTTGAGGTCGCATAACATCAGCAAGAGCCCTGAAAACCAAACAAAATCAGAATGAACCTGTTGTGAAATCTGTAAGGCATTAACAGTGTATTCCAAGTTGGGTTTTTTTTCAGTTTGAGATGCAGTCCATCATAATGTCTGCTGGAGAAACCAGCTCCATTCACAGCAAAATCAGGGAATTGGATTCATTGTGAGACTTTGCACCTAAGGCTCTTCTTAGGTTGTCATAGACACTGTGCTAGCTGTATTACACAGAAATGCATCAAGTTCTTTAGCTGTCTTGGCTTTGTAGGAACGTAACTTAAGTTCGTTGAGACTTGTAGAGTTCTGCCATTGTATGTGGTCAGTAACACTGACATCTTGTTTAAGCTGAGCACCTCAGCACCCAGCCCCTGTCTGTAGCTTTCACAAACTAGTTATCTTCACATCTAGATTACCATCAGGGCCTGTCAAAGTAAATTCTCACACATGCATTTGCACAGAGCACCAGACAATGCAGTGGTCTTGGCCATTTCATTCAAAATGTCACCAAAGTTGAAAGGTCACATGATTTTTGTGTAGCTATCCAACAAGCCTAGCACTCTTCATGATCAGAGATTTAAGCTTTTCCCATCAAGAAGCGGAGATCAAAAATGTCTTTTCTGACTTCTGTGAGTGTCCTAGTCATTAAGATGGAGCAGAGCTTGTACAGGAACACTCCTTGCTGCTTTGAAGCCAGTTCAGAAACAGGATGAAAGCTTCATGCTAGTAAAGAGGGAGCAAGCAAAAGGATTTCTAACAGGTAGGCCAGGCCAAACCTGATGCTGGTTGTGGACTTTTCCTGCAGAGATGCAGGCAGTAGCTATATCTGAGAGACAGATTCATTTCACTCTAGTGTATTTTCTAAGGACTAGTTTCACTGCCAAGCATCCTACTGAGTCTAAGTCCATTCTTAGGCTTACAGATAAGCACACACACCTGTATCAGCCTTGTGGATCCGGAGTTAGTGCCTAACTTTTAAGCTCTGAAACTCTCAGCATGGCAACATCTGACTCTGTCTGTGACTCTGGGCTATGGATTTTTACCATTGACTTCTGTAGGACCAGGATTAGCCCCTAGGTATGCGCCACGTAGCTACCTGCTGAAAAATGCTGAACTACTGTGGCATACAAAATAATTGGCCGACCTGCAGAAGCAGTTGCCTTGGGCAAAGGAAAGCAATGGTATGTGTTACCAGTGTCTTCAGGGTTCAATGCAAGTCTTTCCTATTCAGATCGATACATCACTGACCATTATTTGCCTCCTTTTTTTTTTACTAGTTTTAATTTTTAGACCCTCTGAGCTATTTTTTTAAGAGAATGGATGCATTTTCTGGGCACTGTGCCCAGTTTAGTTTAATTTTCTGCAGAATTATATACAGTGTCCCAGATACTGCATCAAGAAAGAGTAGTTTATAACCTAATAAATAAATAAAAATAAGCACATTCACTGGTGAGAGCCATGGCAAATGCCATCTAGCTCCTCCACTGTACTTCTATGACATGATGATTTCTTGATCAAGAAGCACTGTTCTTTTAAATATTAAAAAGTAGCTTCATTTAAGTTACAGAAAGAGGAATCCTGAGCTGGATCTTGCTTTCAGATTGCAGGTACATTGCTTTGGTACCCAGCTGAACGATACTGATGTTTCATTGTGTTTATGGCTAGCATTATGTTATTAAAATATTAGTTACAGTTGTGATCAACATGTTACATCAACTCTGTTGATACTGTAAAAGGTCAGAAGACAGTAACCAAATGATTAATGGTATGAGAGCAATGCTCCCATTTGAAGCAATGCTTATACAGCAGAAATAGCAGAGCTGGCCTACATAGCAGAATAATAAAAATTCAATAGAAGAGATCTCACAAAGGTATGTAGAAAATGATGCAAAAGGAAAGCATTATATTGCAAAACATAGCTTAAAATAAGTGGGGACCAAAACCATTAATCGAGTCAATTTATGCAAATATGTCTCTGTACAAAGGAAATTATTGACATTAGTATTAATTCTAACTCCAGAGGCAGGTGGACACATTCCTGAGAAGGGAAGAAAAGCAAATGGAAGTTCCTAAGTTCTATGCAGGAGTTAAAATTGTGAGATCTTGTAATACATGGATTAGTATTTCCCAACTCTGTGAGCATGGGTTTTCAGAAATGCTTTCCTCATTGTCCTTATTCTGATGGTAAATATTGTTCACTGTAGACTTTAAATAACACCCCATATGATAGCAGATTAACTACTGCCTGTCCATGAAAATGCTAAGTTTTCTACCATTTTAGGGTGGCTTTTTTTCAAAGGCATTTTAAGGAATTAGCTGTCCAACTTCCACTGTATTAAGAAAAAAGGAACTACTAACCATCAAGTTCTGTTTTTAACAACACAGCACCTGTGTTTATACTGTGTTAGCAGAGTTGTACAATCTTCTCAGGGCAGAGTACTCTATAAGAGCCTGTCCTTATCTTCCACTGATGTCAGGGAGAGTTAAAAACGTGTAGCAGTTTATATCACTGAAGTACAAAGGAAATGCTGCACCTGCATTTTGTTCTTTTAGGGCTTTGCCCATATAATGAAACAGATACAGGGAGGTTTGTGTGCCAGTATATGCCGAAGTCCTTGAATAAACGTTTGCTTTGAAAAATTCCACGTAGACCAACAGACAGTTACAATACCTTCATGCATTCGTCACACCTGAATATCATCATATAGATTTTGTTCATTATCTGAGGAAATTGTTAGAGTGGGTCACATTGAAAAATTATATATACACAGAGGGTCTTTATCTACACCTTTGCTATACAGAATAATTTTTTAAGGAAATGCAAAATACAAGATAACTTTCTGATCAGGTAGTGATATCATGAGGTCCTGTGTATTGATACTGATTGCGGTATTACAGAAGTACAGAAATGTTACCTACATAGGAGTTCATGGCCCAGAACTACCCGAGTACCACAAAATTTCAGCATTTCTCTTGCCATAAGATTTTTCTCATTGGATATGTAATACTCTTTTCAGGTGTTATAAAGCATGTGGAGCCAGGCATTTCCCTTATGGGTAAAAGCTTTAAGAAGCTGAAACACGGGTTATTTCATAAAAGGTCACTTGTCATATTTTGCCTCCAAAACTGGGTCAAAACCCATAAGGGAAATAATTTCACACATAGGTTTCAGGATTTTGGCAAGTCAGACTATTTTCAGCCCCTGGTACATGCCTTTTGAATGATCAACAAAAGACTTAACTCATGAGCTCAGCACATTGTGAAGGAAGAAGAGCTCAGATGGTTCACAATATTTGGAAGGCTGCTAACATACTGTCAGAAGCACTCCTTCTGAAAACCAGGAGCTATAGCGTACGAGCATGATTGTAAATATTGTCCTTTCAGTTCTTGGTTTGTTTGCACATTCTCCACAAGGATTAGGGAAGGAGACAAAGGTGTGGTTTTATTTACAGAAAAATCTCCTCCATGAAACAGAAGTAAAGCTTTTCCCTTTTCTACTCATTTTCAAGAGGTGATTCTCCATCTGATGGAGCCTGGAAGTCCCATTGATGTAGTCTTAAACAGCAGGAATATGCCTGGCAGAGCTGCTAGGTCTGCTTCAGGAGGCAGATCAGTTCTGTTTCCTTTTAGACACAGTATTGCCACATCCATTCCCTTTGCCATATCTGATAACATACACCATCTTATTCCCTTACTCTCTTAGAAAGCAGGAGGGTAAAGGAAGAGTTACTCTGTTTGGATACTACTATTACTGCTTAGTTATTGGACACTGTAGCTGAAGGGAATATTTATATCCTTTTAATGTCAAGTAACAAATTCAAAAATCAGCAGAATGATGTAAACAAAACACTATCATATGATGTCTAAAGTGAAATATTCCATGTAGAGTTAATACTCTATTCCCTTCTCCATTTTCATCTTCCAGATTTACGGTTCCATGCCAACAGTAAGAGTGTTTTACTGAAAAGCACTGATCTAACAAGAAAGAAAATGTCAACAGTGCCACACTTGGCCTTTTTTCTCAAAACAAAAGGAAGTAACAAGCTCTCTAAAAATGGACAAAATTTGGCTCTTTTTTTCCTAAAAGGGCTTGCCCAATAGATATTTTTTCCTGTGACCTGTTTTCAGAAATAAATACATTTTCCCTGAGCTCTTTCCATTGTCAAATATTTCAGGAAAATTCAGTTAAATTAATGGAGTGTTCTTGCTTTGTTTTGGCATAGCAGTAAACAAATGTAATGAAAAGCGAGTATATAGCAACTACGCTCACCAAGCCTGTGAAGTTTCCTTCATTTACATTGTACCACTCTTACACACACCAGTGTCTTACTTCAACAGCAGATCCACTGACTGGAAGATGAAATAATGCAAGGAATTAATGTGTGTCACAGTTTTGCTTCCTATTTATAAGTCAGTGTTCTTATTCCCATGTGACAGGTCTCTGCTCATAATTTTGAATATTTTTAGTAAATCAAAAATGGAAATACATAATTTACACCAGTTGTGTTCTGTTCACTTCTTTAAAAAATCAGCCCTCAAAAGAAAAGATCAGTTTACATTATGCATTTTCTTTTTTTATAAGTAGTACCATCCCTTCCATAGGTGAATTTATTAATAGAAATTAAGAGGATTCAAGTGTTTCATGTAGCCATTGGCTAGGGAAGGGAAAGGAGACAATCTTTGCTAAGGAAATAGATGTCAAATCATCCTCCGTACGTGTCTTGCTGCCAGCCAAAATGGAGTAACACTTAGTACTTTTGGTTTGGCCTACCAAAACTCTCAATGCATTATACTTTTGCTTATTAATAAGCTTCAGCACAGAAAAAAAAACATCAGAAGTGTTCTTTTTGGTTTTGTGGGAGTTTTTTTATATTGTAGTGGTGTTATAAAAGAAGGTGACTATGAATATAGGCTATATATTACTTAATTGTTGGTACTAGTAACTGTTTAAACAGATAAATTTTTCTTAAGCATTGCAGCCTTTTTTTCAGAACATTAGTAGTGTGAAATGAGCTGAGATGGAATATTTTAGTTAAGCACACATTTGAAGACTAAAAGGTTATGTCAATTCTTCAGTCAGTGAGCAGATTTTTAGATTGCCGAAGGGCTTTACAAATCTAATTCCTTTTCAAATTAATGGTAAGCTCACCCCACAGCTTTAATAGGACTGACAGAACTTTTTTTTTTTAAAAAAAAAAAAAAAAAAAAAAGCTATAGCATTGCCTTTTCAGAACATGACTAGCTATTATGTGTACTGAGTGGGTGACTGTTTTTCCATGTGATCATGACTTTCCAAGTTTCTATATAATCCTGACTTGAACATTTTAAGGGCAAGAAAAGTACAAGATCCCAGACACTGTTAAGTAATCAGGGTAACAGACAACCTTTTCTAGGAACCACTTCAGAAACCTAAATCTTTATGCATACATGACTGAAGGATTCCAGAATTATTTTCCAATCCCCTATAATTCTATTTCCATAAACTAAGAGAGAATATCGTTTCAGAATACTTCACACCTGTATTTTAGATAGCAAATATTTCTACTAGTAGGACCTATTTAAGCCATATATAAGCAGGGATGGCTACAACTTCACTCTGTCCTGGTTTTTGTAACTGTCACAAGCCCTGTTGCCTTTTTGCCTGTGTGAAGACACTACAGAAAGAGGCTGAAGCAACGGAGAGCTTTTTCAAAACAAGCTCTGTAGTTTAAGGGTATGATTCAAAAAGGAAATTGAGACTCTCTTTCTCAATTTAGCAGTGGAGAATATTCAAAATGTCTAAAGGATTATTATACCTTGCTCAACAAAAAACATCTTTGCAAAAGTATCTCTGACACACAGTGTTGACTGAAATTTCTGCAGTGTGCTTTGTTCCTCAGTAGTAAAAGCGTATCCATATCAGCCAGTTTATAAATAGCAAATAATTGCTAGTGAAGTAGTGATGCATTTGCAGGAGTATTTTTGTGGCTTTCTCTGTTCCTTTCAGGATAAGCAGTTAATCAAAAAGTCATGCAGAAACTTCAGTAAAAAATAAGGCTCCAGGTGTTGAGTTGACCTCTTGGACTATTTTTTACAGGATGACTCTTCATCTGAGCTTTAAAGATTGTGAACTACACCATTACCAGTCAGGGTAAGAGGAAGCTTTCTGCCACACTGTACATCCAGTAGAAGGTATTTTTTTAATTGCATTTTATCACTAAAGTTGCCCAATATGCTGGAATCTATTTAGGCTCTTTAATGGAGCTGTTTGCCTTTTTTAATGCCTTTCCCCCATCTGCTTTACTTTCATGTGCCTGGGATTAGCATAAAGAATCAGACAGACTGCAAACTTGACAAATGTGTTATGCCTTGATTTTGAACTGCTGTGATGATCTGGATTTAGAATATGTTGTTAAAGCCATTGGGCTCTGTCCTGAGTTGCCCACCTGCCTATCCACCACTAGGCAGCCAGTCTCTGGAGTTGACTGTACACAGCATGCCTAACTCTAGGTGGGGGAGGTTCTCTTTGATATAACTCAGCCATTACACTGTGGATACAGAGTATAACACACACATATATGGACAAGACTTTCATATTCCATTTTTTACCTCTTAACAGTAACTGAAAAAGTATTACGACATTCTACAATAGCTTTTCTTTTTTTGTGTCTCCCTCTTCCTTTCCACCCTGGCTCATTTTCACAGCTTAAAAATTTTACGAATAGCTTACGCACTTGCAAGGCTTGGGGGAGTGAGGAAGGTCCTGCCAAAACCATTTTGCAGCTGGAGAGGGAGGGTGAGATGACATTTGTTTACCACCTTCTGTTGAGAAGTAAAAACATTTTCCGAGCTTTTAAACAGTTGGAAGAGGGAACCCATCAGGCTTTGTTGCTGGTTTCAGGATTTTGTTGTTTTCCTATTCATGCACAGTATATCTGGGAACACTTGCTGGATCTTGTTGGGGAGAGGGTCAGACACTGCAGATAAAAATGGGCTACTGTCTGTGCAGACTCCACAGTTATTTCTAGTCTTCCTCACTATGCATGTACTATGGTACCCTGGGCTTGGGGAGACACAGAAGCTCTGCTCTCTGAAGTTGCTCTCTCTCAGTTGCCTTGCAGGGGAATGCAGCCTGCATAGCAGGAGTTGTTTGTTTAGCAGGACCACATGGGCTCCTGTCTCCTCTTTAGGGGTAGGAGGGGGGGAGGTGGGGGGAGAAGGGGACACTGCTGCCTGGCACTCAGCCTTACCTGGACATGTGCTCCCGCTGGGGCCTGTGCGCCTTCTCCAGCCCCAGTTTGGTGAAGATCCCCACCAGCACCATGACTGCCACAACCCCACAGATGATGTAGACAATGAGGTTGGTTTTATCCCTGGTAGGGTCATGAAGAGGGTCATCTATACGGGAAGGAGGCTTCCCAGTGTTCATCCACAGCGGCGTCTCATAGTTTGTGCAAGTGCTTTGATCCAGCCTTGTCTTCTTGAACTTGCAGCAAAACCTGAAGCCACAAGTGCCGCAGCAGAAGATGAACTCCCCCGAGCTGCAGTTAAAGGGGGGGTCCCACTGCCCCATCA